TGCTATGTAGTTTAGACTGGCCTTGAGCTAACAACACTTCTCTTGCCTCAGTCTACCAAGTGCTGGAATTACTGGCATGTGCCCCTATACCTTTTTTTTTTTTTTTTTAGGTTACTCTTTTTCAGAAGTGAAGTCTCTTTTTGTCTTTGAATTAGGCCAATGATGGCGAACCTTTTAGAGCTTTCAATGATACCATCAGCCCACTGTGGCACACATGTCATACGTTCACTACCACTCATCTAGGCTAATAGAAAATATTGACAGTAAGGTAGTTTCTTTTTCTTTTTTTTTATACTGGGGATTAAACTCAAGTAGGTGCATTTATGCTTCCCAGTAAGGTGCGTTCTTTTTTTTTTTTTTTTTTTTTTTTTTTTTTTAATGGAACCGGGGATTGAACTCAAGCCCTATTCCACTGCGATATCTCCCTGGCCCCAAGGGGGGGTTCTTAAAGCCTTCCTAGGAGTAACTGCTTTGGTGCTCTTTAATTTTTTCATGAGGTTTGTTCAAAAAGGTGAGATGATAGTATAGAGAGGAAGGGTTATAGTGTACTGGCTTCTGGGAGTTGGGGAGTGTCAGCAATCAGCAGTGTTTCTCATAATATGATTTGTAGAACTTGATTCCGAATTAACGTGCTGGGGAGGTGTTGCATGCTTATAATCACAGCTCTTAGGAGGCTGATGCAAGAGTTCAAGACCAACCTGCACTGTATAGTGAATCCCTGTCTGAAAACACAGACAAACAACTAAGGAATGCTTAATGATACAACTTAGATGGTTTTTAATTACGACATACAGAAATCTCTGCTGTTTAATGGTTACATAATAGTAAGAAATCTGTTCATTCTCTTTTTGGAAGTCGTTTTGCTTTTTGTTTTTAATTTCTCAAGTACACTAGCCATATTATAAGGTTTAAGTAGTCACATGTGGCTAGTGGTTACTGTATATTAATCTGTAAATGTTCAGTACATCAATGACCAAAGTACAGGGCCATATCTTATATAATAGGGCTGGAGAGATAGCTCAATAGCATAAGCACCTGCCTGCCAAGCACAAGGTCCCAAGTTTGATCCGCGGTACTGCATGCAATACAGACCCCGGAACTCCAGGCATGCTGTACCTGCTGTGCTGGCCCAAAACCAGGCGTGGAGGCACAGGCCTGTAATCCCAGCACTGGGAAGGCTGAGACAGGAGTATTATTACTGTGTGTCCAAACTGCATAGCGATACTCTATACAAAGAAAAAAAGAAATTTTAGTACAAGTATGCAAAATTGTCTCTACGTTATATGAGCTATAAACAAAAATGTACAAAAGGATTTGTTAGGGCTTTGGAAGCACTGGAGTACAGATTTTTTTTTTCTTTTTTATGTATTTAGTACAGGGTCTTCAGCATCTCACTACCCAAAAGGGACTCGTGGTGATCCTCCTGTTTTCAGCCTCCCAAACATTGGGATTACAGGCACGCGCCACCATGCTCAGTCGCAGTCTCAGTGTGCCCCAGGGGCAGGGCTGGTACACCCTGCCAGGATTGAACCCTAGTCCCTGCATCTGCCTCAGTAGGTGCTTTAATCCGCTGAGCTATATGGCCGGCCTTTGGAAGTATAGATCTATTCTCCCTTGGTAATCACATTTTTTTAAAATGTATTTGGTACACGGTCTCACTATGCAGCACTCGTATTGATCCTCCTGTTTTCATCCTCCCCAGCTCTGGGATTACAGGCCTGTGCCACCACTCTGGGTCTCAGCTCTGTGCATGCCAGGGAGTGTGGCCAGCAAGGCATGTGGTGCTTGGCATTGAACCCTGATCCCTGTGCTTGCCTGAGCAGGCGCTTAGTCCACTGAGCTATCTCACCGGCCTGGTAATCAGGTTTTACATGTATAACAACAACAAAGAACGAATGTGCTTCATTTGGACAGATGATTAGGGTATTGAACACCTTAGGCTGGAGATAGGAGTTCAGAGTAAGCAGTACAAGTCTAAACTGCTTTTCCTCCCTAGATGAAGCAGATGATGACGACGACCCTGAATATAATTTCCTAGAAGATCTTGATGAGCCTGACACAGAGGATTTTCGTACTGACCGGGCAGTGAGGATCACCAGTGAGTCAGACTACTACTATCATTTATTTTATGTTTAGCTTTGTATACTCTATAGGTTTGCAGAGGGGATGTTCACAGCTCATCCAAGTTAAGACATTTAAGTTGCCTCCATTTGTTCATTTCTGTAGTCCTTTAAGTATACAGCAGTTGCATATTCAGAAAGTTGTCAGTTGTTTCCTTTCCAACCTTTAGTCAAGCATCAAGTTTTTACAGTCTGGTAAGGCTTTGCAATGTCAGGATGAATTAGGACATGGGTTTAGCAGAAGGAATTATAATACAGAGTGATAGTGGAGATTGCCTTGAAGAGGATCCCCTCTCCTAGGATGTGATGAGCAGGCTGTGAAGCTTAGCAGAGCATTCCCTAGATACATGTTTCAGCCAAGTTTGGAAGGAGCAAGTTTTTAGAAAATGAGAATAGAGAGAGTACAAATACATGTGCATTTGCAATCACTGAATTCTAAAGCAACAAAAATGTATTGGGAACATGCGCTTGGTGTACTTGTGTGAATAAATGAGTGGTGGTGGGAATAAATAGTATTGGGATCATGGGGATCTTTGGACTCTCAGGGGTTTTTTGTTGTTTAGTTTAGGGTTTTTTGAGACAGGATCTCACTCTGCTTCAGGTTGGCCTTTAACTCACTACGTAGCCCAGGCTGGCCTGGAACTCATGGCCTGGGCCTCCCCAGTACTGAGATTAAGGCATTTGCCACCATGTGGGCCTGTCACCAACGCTTGTACTTGACTTGTGAAAACTTTTTATTTTGGTGATGGTACTGGGGATGGAACCCAGGCCCTTGCACATACTATTTTTTTCTTTTCATGTGAAGCACATTTTTATGAATGTGTTTAGGCTAGAAAGGTATGGGTAGAAGGGAGAGGAGGCAAGGAAGTGAATGAATTATGTACAAAGTGAGACAGCACCTTCTCCTTTAGCTATTTGCAGTTTGTTTTTTGCATCTTCAGGATATGCATACCCTGTCAGTCTCTTTATAAGACACTATCACAGTTGGTGGACATTTTCACATTAACCTCTTTTGCAAGTACCAGGTCAGCCTCATCCATGTCTTTCCATCTCTTTAAGAGCATTGAATCACCACCGGAATCTCTCGCTCCAGTAATTCTTTCTGGTTCTAGTTCCTTTCAAATCCCAGAACAATATTGCTCTGGTCTATCTTTTTCTTTTTCTTTCTTTCTTTTTTTGATAACAGTACTGTTCCTCTTGTTACTTTCTAATTTTACCCTGGGTTTATTATTTTCACTCTCGTTTATCTTCTTATACCTTCTCATAACTCAGAAATTAGCTTAGGGCAATCCCAGTTTTTCTGTGGCTTCCAAGTATTGTGCTCCTCTGAAAAGCCTTTTTAAAATTTTATTTGCCCCTTAACTGTGCACCTAACACTTCCTCTGTGTCACATCCTCCTCATCCTCTGAAGAACTGTCAGCTGTCTTCTTGGTTTTCTTTCCCATATCATACACTATTTCACCTGAAGAACTAAAGCCATTGAGTTGCAGTGTAAATTCACATGGACAGCCATTGTGGTGGTCCAGGCCTATAAATCCCAATACTCTGCCAGGCTTAGCCAAGAAGAATGCAAGTTCAAGTCCTTCTTGGGCAAGACCCTGGCACTGAGAATGATCACACACATTAATGTCTGTCCTGTTCCTCTGTGATAAGGCTGGACCACAAGCCACTGCTACTGTCACCTTCTGTTCAACCTTTTGTGCATGCTTTGTGAAATTTTATTTTGAGTCATTGTTTTGCTAAATAGCCCAGGGTCTACAGGGTGTCACTACACAGATCGGATTTGTAGTGATTCTTCTGCTTTCAGCCTCCCAAGTGCTAGGATTATAACACCATACCATTTTAAGAAGGACTGTCACTGAGTTTTCTTGAGTTAGGTCTTTTAGATACAGTGTGAGGCTCTCTTGTGGTCAGGGATACACTTGCCTTTTTGGTGTGGTTATAACATATTGAACTTGAAGTCAACCAAAATGTTTAGGTCTTGGGGCTGAGGAGATGGCTCAGTGGTCTAAGCACCTGCCTGGCAAGCACAAGGACCTGGGTTCGATCCCTGGGACTGTATTCTGGGCCAGGCCCGTGCCATGCCAGCCAGTGAAACTGGGTATGGTGATGAATGCCTGTAGTCCTCAGCACTGGGGAGGCTGAGATAGGAGGATCATTACAAGTCAGGGCTGCATAGTGAGACCCTGTACCAAATTAAAAAAAGAAACTTTAGGTGTTTTTCAGATTGCTTTTAGGTCATTCCATCTTTTCATGTACTTAAGAACTGATTTTTTAAAATCCAGAATATAGCACTTAATATCTAATCTTCATGAGTTTTATCTAGTTGTTTTGAAAGGCAGCTATGCTCACTACTGTATCACCAATGCAGACTGTCGAGTTTTGAGAAAACAGAATTTTGAATGTTATCAGTTGGATCTTCAGCTACCTTCTGTTACTAATGTAACAGCTTTCTATGATTACAGACTTGATAAGTGTACTTTTTTTGAATCTTTTAAGTCATTGATGGAATGGCTAAATAGCACAGATCTAAAGGCATGTCTTACGACATACTTTGGGAAACTTTCTCTTGACTCCAAGTAGTTCTGTATGGGTTTAGATAGGCCAACCAACTCACATGTTTATGTCTTCCCACTAAAATTTTTTTTTTAATTTTATTTATTTATTTATTTGTGGGGGGGCAGCTCAGCCCACCAGGGGGCGCGGCTGGCTGCCATGTGGTGCTGGGGATTGAACTGCGGTCCCTGTGCTTTGCTAAGCTTGTTCTAAGTAGGTGCTTTAGACCACTGAGCCATCTCACCAGCCCCTTCCCACTAAAATTTAAGCTACATGAAAGTATTAAGAGTCTCATGCTCGACACAAAGCCCAGACGCGGAGAAAATGGCGACAGGGTTCGAAGCGGCGGCCGAGGTGGCTGCGACGGAGCCCAAAATGGAGGAGGAAAGCGGTGCGCCCGGCGTGCCGACCGGCAACGGGGCTCCGGGTCCGAAGGGTGAAGGAGAACGGCCTCAGAATGAGAAGAGGAAGGAGAAAAGTATAAAAAGAGGAGGCAATCGCTTTGAGCCATATGCCAATCCGACTAAGCGATACCGCGCCTTCATTACGAACATACCTTTTGATGTGAAGTGGCAGTCTCTGAAGGACCTGGTTGAAGAAAAAGTTGGTGAGGTAACATACGTGGAGCTCTTAATGGACGCTGAAGGAAAGTCAAGGGGATGTGCCGTGGTTGAATTCAAGATGGAAGAAAGCATGAAAAAAGCTGCTGAAGTTCTAAACAAGCATAGTCTGAGTGGAAGACCACTGAACGTCAAAGAAGATCCTGATGGTGAACATGCCAGGAGAGCAATGCAAAAGGTGATGGCTACAACTGGTGGGATGGGCATGGGACCAGGTGGCCCAGGAATGATTAATATCCCACCCAGTATCCTAAATAATCCTAACATCCCAAATGAGATTAGCCATGCATTGCAGGCTGGAAGACTTGGAAGCACAGTATTTGTAGCAAATGTGGATTATAAAGTTGGCTGGAAGAAGCTGAAGGAAGTATTTAGTATGGCTGGTGTGGTGGTCCGAGCAGACATTCTGGAGGATAAAGATGGGAAAAGTCATGGAATAGGCACTGTGACTTTTGAACAGTCCATTGAAGCCGTGCAAGCTATATCTATGTTTAATGGTGAGCTGCTATTTGATAGACCGATGCATGTCAAAAGGGATGAGAGAGCCTTACCAAAGGGAGATTTTTTCCCTCCTGAACGTCCACAACAACTTCCCCATGGACTCGGTGGCATTGGCATGGGATTAGGACCAGGCGGGCAGCCTATTGACGCCAATCACCTGAACAAAGGCATTGGAATGGGAAACCTGGGCCCTGCAGGAATGGGAATGGAAGGCGTCGGATTTGGCATAAATAAAATAGAAGGCATTGAGGGCCCCTTTGGTGGTGGCATGGAAAACATGGGGCGGTTTGGATCTGGGATGAACATGGGTCGGATAAATAAAATCCTAAGTAATGCACTGAAGAGAGGAGAGATCATTGCAAAGCAAGGAGGAGGTGGAGGTGGAGGCAGTGTCCCTGGGATTGAGAGGATGGGTCCTGGCATTGACCGCCTTGGGGGTGCCGGCATGGAGCGCATGGGTGCAGGCCTGGGCCACGGCATGGATTGCGTGGGCTCTGAGATCGAGCGCATGGGCCTGGTCATGGACCGCATGGGCT